AGTTTTGAATACATTATTGTGTACTGGTTTTTATTGAACCAATAAAGAAATACATCAAAACTTAATTAATAATACTTCAAATTCGAGTGAACTTCTTTTTACACCATTTTCTTCAATAACTTGCATATAGTGAGTTTGTTTTGGTTACAATACAATATTTATAATGTTATATCGATCATAATAACTTTTTATTACAGTATATTACAAGTTAACGTTTTAAGTGAGACTATGTTATAATACGAAAATTTAAGTTGCAGTCTAATTTGTTATAACAGCTGCAGAAAATTGATAGCCAAGTGCGCAGTTCTGTAATGGAACTACAGTTGCGTTTTCATTAATTCTAGAAAGGTACGCACAAAGGTAATGCTCCGCAGTAGTAATATTAATACTGCGACGAACATAAACATTTATCACAATCTCATTTATGTATTGGTTTTGGTCAAGCTCAAATGCACGAGGTTAAGTTTACCCTTCTTAACCAACAAACATCGTTTCCTGTAATCTTGTGTTACCAGCTGCAATTTCCTTTCTTCGGCGATAAAGAGACGTATTTCGTCGGGTATTATCTCCAAATAGAATTTACTGACCTCGTACAAATAGTGTACAGAGAAACAAATTGTATCTGTGCCCAGTCATTCTTCTCACTTAATGTTTCCGCTTGGTTTCTGTTAGAAGTGTTGTAGTGAAACGATAAGAAACAAAAGTCTTCGACATTAAATCGATATTTTCAACTAAGGTCTGTAGAACATATTGTCTCATATTAGTGTTACATATATAAAACTGCAATGTTGTTACAACCTTGAACAAGTTTTAAAACGCTGTAATATATTTTGCTACCCGTTGGTAAAGTTTTTGTACACTATTGTGTTTAAATTGCATTGCATGGTCTTGTACATGAATATAATGTTTAGTTGTTTCGAAATCCATGATTGAATCATATTCAAAAATTTGACTTTTCTAAACCTTAAACACCTATGATCGGGTGGATATTATCCATCAAATTTTAAATTACTCTAATTGTAATGCTTTATTCTCCCCAGTGCCTCCCAAAATGCAATGATCTAAACAATGACAAAACACAGAAACCAACAATATTTTAGGTCAATGGGTTTTATGCTTTCAGTCACATTGGGTTGGCTACTACATTAAAGAGCTTTATTAAACTGCAGACTTATTTGAGAATACATCTTTAAAAGGTTCAGTCATTTCGCCAGCTTAAAACGTAGTATTTACAAGGGTAAAAAAGATTGAAACTTTTTTTCGGAATATAATTGTTTTTTGTTTTTCTTTTCACGTATTGTGCTTTGGCATAAAGCCGCCAAGCGGAGTGTGCGTGTATGAAAGCATGAGTGCGCGTGTTCGAGAGTGAGGGTGTATGAGTGTGAGTGAATGTGTGTGTGAGTGTATGAATGTGTGAGTATGTAAACGGTTGAGCAGATAAGTGGTCAAGGTAATGTAGAGTCTACATTATGACGGGACTAATGGGGACTTTACCAACATTTATTTGATTATACTCTAAAATTCGTTTTATCTATTAAAACAGTTTTTATAAATGTCGAGCAACGTAGGGGTTGCCTCCGCTAGTAAACGTCATAAAATAAAAATTCAAAATAAGTATTTTTGGAGTTTTGCAGCCTAAATCTACAATGTTTGCGATATAACTGCCTTGACTAATCGTTTTTCATAATAAGTACAGTTAATATCATATTAGTTCTCAAGAAAATGTAATCTACAATTTGGGAGTAACATGTCAAAATTCTACTTTTCAAAACTCACTCTAACAATATTTTTTTATAATAAAAAACTGTGTGAAGTAATAGAAGTTAACAAGAACTCACTATTTGGCCAAGCTACATTTCGTTTCTTCTCGAAAGAATAAATTATAACACAATTTCTGTTTCTGTCCAAACATTTAGCTGGAACATTGTAATATTACATTATTTATTATCAATTGTATATTTTCTTCATTGCGAAACATTTTGGTGTTGATAATGAGAGTAAGTGCTCATTTTCTAATTTATAAATTTGAACCGTTTTCCCCCTGTCCGAAATCGAGTATAAACGTAGCATGGCAACATCCCAACAAATAAGGCAAATTCTTTATTTCCAAAGAATCAATTTTTATCTATAAACAACTAGATAAGACGCGTTTTCTGATCGATTGTTATCACTGACTCGCCGTCGTAGTCTCGGAGGGTGAGTGCGCACCTTTAAAAATTTGAAATCCACAGGTTGGTCACTCCCAAAGATTGGAACTATCAGTTCAACTTATTGTGGACGGTTCTTGTCAGAACTGGAGGATCGTGTTCTATGCACAGTAAGATGGTAGTTTAAGGTTTTTGCTTGTAAGAAGCATTCTGGCCATTTTTGATAAGGAGAAAATTCACATTGATGGTAGGACATGTGCGTATTTAGAGGTGAGTGAGTGAGTAAGGAAGGGTCTTACTATTGTATTCCAGCAACCGTAAACGATGGAATTTAGCCACAGCTTTTCGAAACTTTTCGAGAATTTATACTTTTTATACTTCTGACAACCAGCGATCATTGGAACTGTTCTCTGATGGAGTATTGATTGTAGCGTCACTGGTATATTTACAGCACTAATAAAGCAATGCCTTGCTTCGTTGAGTGGAGGAGGTGACAAAACGGTGATAATATTCAGTCTGGAACTTTTTGTTGATCAGAAAAAAATATTAAGTTTATGCTAAAAAGGCCATCTTTTAGTTTCTGTGTACATGAGTTTTTTGCTTTAGGCATTTAAATTTAGTCGTATGCTCGTTTGCACCTTGTGTGCACATTGTACGCAGCGTTTGCGCCTTGTTTGTTTACTGAGGAATTTCTAGAGTCTATATTTTCTATTTGTGGAATATCAGTTAGAATTTTCTTGTCAACAAAACTTTACGGATTTAAATAACTGCATTTTATGCATATTTATTTCTTCTAAAATATCGTCAGTTCATATTAGAAAAAGTGAGGGATACTAAATGAAACGTTAAGAAAACAAAGCTTTATTTCATAAGAGAATGTTAACGACCCGAAAAAGCCAATAATTTTCTTTATTAACTACCCTAGAAAGAGAAAAAACTGTAGAAGAAGATGTCAACGGTTGAAAGTAATTTAAATGATATCATTATTATTTTTTGTTACATTATTTTTATTTACTCCGTGTAAAAAATGTTTAAATTCAAAAATATCATTGTAAGTTTTTCAAGCGAAAATTAATTATTTACCATCGGAAGAACAAGAAAGTAGAGGACAAAAATAACATGAAAGGAGATGCCGTATACTGTATTTGGCAGCGCACAGAACTGTCGCTTTATAGCGGAAGCGATGTGCAAATTGCTCAATTGTGCAATGGCGAGTTCAAGAGCCAAATTGTCCTCGATAAGTAGTAAATGAGATGCGAATTCGATTTCCCGCAGTTTAACTTTATACCATCTTTGAGCTAACTTCCACTCAATCACAATTATACCTTGTTTCGTTCTTCAAAGAAACTTTACTTAATTAAATTCGAAACAAACGGAACAGAACTTAATTCAACTGAGACGGTTTCACTTCCTTTCAGTTCAATATAACGGTTCAAGCTCATATCGGTTGAACTTTATGTCGACTTTATCTCTTGTAGAGTAAAAAGTACGATTTAGAAATTAAGTAAATTTTAGCTTACAAAGACTAGACTGTGAAAAATATTTTCAGTTTGTTGATGTTGCAGGGAGAGACTGTCTCATTTCTGCATTAGCTGTTTAATATTAACATTGTGCAAAATAAGTGGAATAAATTCCGGATAAGAAATTGCTTCGAGTGAAACTTCGGGCATTAGCCAAATTAATTTACTAGACAACTTCAGATGATTAGGGAAAGTGACATGTTTTACTATAACAAGGAGGAGAATATATGGTGATAACGGATAGATCTGCTGTTGGGAAATTTCTAATGGTGGAAAGAGACAAGGTGCGAAGTTTCCATTTTGACAGTGTTATTTGTAAATTCCTTTTACACAATACCACCTATCTTAATTTCATTATATACATCAATTTACAATTTTGTAAAGGTTTGCGATTTAGAACGACAAGGCTCTAACTTTCAGCTTTAACGATTTGCATAAGACAACAAAGACTCTGTAGAACGTGTAAGTTTTAACCCACTTGTATGCCAAACTACTTCCGAACACACTCCTCGCACAATCACTTAACTTAAGGTGGCGCCCTGGGATGAAACAAGTATTAGTCTGATAAAGTCCAAAACGATCCGTTGATCATCCTCACCGCTTGGCTAATGTGTGATTTAATTTTTCCCTAATAATATTGACATTTGGGTGTTTAGTCTTGACAAAAATTAAAACTTTCAACAAACAAAACATTCATTAAAACGTTCACTCGTTTCTTTGTAATATGTAAATTTTATTGTCATTCGCTCGCCACTATCCAGTTTGTGAAATTATGATACTTAGGTCAATAAATATGAAGATAACTCTCCAGACGTTGAGAATGATAACCTACAATAAGTCGATAGTCATAACGTACAGTAAGTCGGCAACGAAAACTTACAGCAAGTCGGCAACGAAAACTTACAGCAAGTCGGCAACGAAAACTTACAGTAAGTCGGCAACGAAAACTTACAGTAAGTCGGCAACGATAACCTACAGTAAGTCGGCAACGATAACCTACAATTAGTCGCCAACGATAACCTACAGTACGTCGACAACAATAACTTACAGTAAGTCGAAAACAACATACAATAAGTCCACAACGATAATATACAATTAATTAATATGAAACCTACCAAGATAGCTGACAACGATAACTTACAATAAGTCTATAATTACAATCAGCAAGACAATAACAATAACCTACAATACATCAATAATCATAATCCACAATAATCGATAACTGTAACCTGCAAGGTCAATGACAATATCCTACAATACGTCGAAAACTATGACCTGCAAAGTAAAAAACGATTATCTGCAATAACCTCTGCTCACCTTTGCCTCTTCGCAGCCGGCGGTGCTCACCCGCCGCGTCACCTCCTGCCCCACCCTGCTCGCCCAGCGGTGCGGGTCCTGCAGCACGTGCGCTTGCGGCTCCAGTTCGTTGATGAGCTCCTCCGCCACCTGCAGGCAGCACGCGAGGGGATTGAATTCAGGTACGCCCTTTAACCCGATATCAATATTTGCATATGAGTCAACTTCGGTGCGGACCTTAACACTGTGTGTATTAGATAGGCCTCTTCATTCGGGTAAACCACAGACGTGCAGAAGCTAAAGACGGTTTTAGAAGATTCAAACCAATATTTTATGACCGTTATTAAATTACGAAGCTACGTTCTGAAACAATGGTACTATCCCTCGAAGGAAAAACCATTTCTAAATTCATGCTTTGCCTGAAATTGCCAATCTTTTTGTTTCCATTCTTGTCTAATGTGGTATATAGTAATAGAATACTTCATACATTTATGTAAAACTTACGTAATAATTTTCGATAAACAATTTTCTAAAACAGTTACGTCACCACTCTTATCAAATGATACAACAGCAGACTTGATTTTAGCCGACGATTGAAACAAAAGATTTTAGATATGTAAATTTTGATATTCGCCGAGTTATCGGTTTTGACCATGTACAAGCGTTGGCACTGACATTCACTCTAGTTCATGAATTGAAAAGTTAACTATTTGAGTTTCAGGGATATCCATACCTGATAGAGATTACAAGCGAAAAAGTCAGCATTTTTTTAATTTAAGGTGGCATTAACATTTAGGTCATCAGCGACTACTTTTGCCTTTAACGGTATGGAGAAGGTGATGAATGTGAAGTGAATATATGTAAAGATGATATATGGTAATGATAGCGGGGTGAAAGGACGAAAACAAATACAACCATGTCTTAGGCGGGAGTCGATCCCGCAATCCTTCGGTCCGAGATCCCTACTGCACAACTGCCTTGACGATCTCGGCCATCCGAATCGAAGCATTTTTTCTTATCATAGTACTAATGTAACTATAGCACTCGTACAAGAGGCCAATTTTAGAACATTTTTCTCTCTAATACTGATTGGTCTGGTTACTTTTAGTATATTTTTAGACAACTCGAAACTTGTCGTGGCCCATTTTCTTTCAATTGATTTTTTTAAATAGAGATATTTTTAATTCCTGACTAAAAAGACGGTTGATAGGTTTTCCTTGCGAACAGTGCTCGTTGTACGTTGAATTCAGAAAACTATTATACTGGGAAAGGAAAATTGTGAATGAAAAATCTTTGGATCAAACTTATGAAGGTACTCCAAAGAAAAATATAATGTATAAACCAGCTTCGGTGTTGTCTAATAAAATATTGCATTTTTACAACATTAATGAATATACAATATTTCTTTCCCATGATCGAAAATAACTATTGTATGTTGCCCGTTTTTCTACTTAAAACACGAAATATGATGAAATTTAGTTCTACGAATGCAATGAATAAGCAAGATTCAGTACTTCTCACAAACAGAGGATTGAGATTTTTGACATCTATAACTTCGTTGTTGGAAGACATAATTTGTGATTTGAACATTCTTTCCGCATTTGTAGCAAAACGTACAAAACACTATACCACATTCAAATCATTGAAATGATATCGCTGAAAAATTGTACTCCAGTACTATTATGTCACAAAGTTATTTCTATATAAAAATACCTTTGATTTGCAAACACCTCATAGTACTTGTAAAAGTAGAGATTCTATGTTATTTTTACTAAATCGTATATTAACATGCCTGTTTCCTTCCACAAATGTGATTGTTTGAAGATGAAAGCACACATATAGAGAGGAATTAAATATTCCCATAATTCTAGTACAAAGGTCCAATGTTTCGCGTGTTGCATTGTGCTTTCACCTGCATTCAAAATCGCAAGAGTGAAATAGGCAGAAAATACCACAAAAATGCTCATTTTAATGTGTAAAACATTAAATTTTATATACTATCGTTACTTTCTGCATTTGCGAAACCTCTTACGTTTAATAATTGAATGAGAGTAATCTGCTCTTCCCAGGAGATTATTACTTGTGCTTCTTAGTATAAATTCCCATTAAATTTCCTCTAAAAAACCACTTTGCCTCACTCTGTCTTCCAATGAGTAATTTACTTTCCTGAAATGTCTATGATCACAGCTTGTCTTCTTTAAATGTATAAAGAACGCTGAAAAGGAAAATGGCTGCTATTTTTTTTCATTATATGATGAATTTGAAAATAACATTTTAATTTGTTTTTTCATTTCATTATGACCCAAAATGCATCTGTCATCATATACAGTCACAGTTTTATTAGATACACAAACAAAAAGAATGAACTATGAAAACAATATTGATATACGGAATCCTTTGGGGAGACTTAATTCAACTATGCATTTATTTGCGTATATAAGTTTGACTGATTTGTATACGTTTTTAATGTGTACATATATTTACTCGGAGTCAAAAGCAGTGTTTGCAGTTTGATTATTATATTTTCAGGTGAACCCATAACCGAGAGCATGTGCAAACCTAGTGGGAGTGAACCTAGCTTTTTAAAACACAAAAAGTTCCATTTTCTAATTACGAGACATTTAGATATTATTTTAACTTCAAACCACAAGTTTAGTGTCCAGCAAGCTCATGACAAAAGGTCAATCGTAAAGGTGCTGCCTTCACCGTCAAGTGCAATGGATGCTAGGAAAGTTTCTAAATATTCAAATAGAGAAAAAATACTAATCATTTGTTATGAATGCTTACAAGTTTACTGGACTTTAGAACCATTTTTTTCCTTTTCCATCTGGTGGAATAACTTATTAATATTTCAATTGAACAGCTTCAGGGATACAGTAAACTTGATCGATTTAAATATTTTTTTGGTTGTGACAAAAACTAGCAAAGTAGTACATCCTCAACACCTAGTGTTACGCAAAGCAAAACTAAGTCTTAGTTTCAAGCAGGGAGGAAGAGAATAATGTTTCCGAGTCTGCTTTTATTAATTTATTAAACCAGTTATGATTATAGTGTGTTCATCCCTGGCAGTATGTGCGCTATTAGATATTCTCGTCTCGTAAAGTCAACTTTCCGCGGCTTGGATGTGATGGAGAGACTAATTAGTGCTAGGTGGTAAGAAGGAGCACCTGAAAGACTTTCGTATCCATTAATCAAAGTGGCAATAATAAACAATCATTGAATTAAAACGCTCTATTATCTATTTATATGTCTATATACTTCGCGAATAAATCACTTAAATGGGTGTTGGGTAATTTGCACATCAAATAATAATCGTAATCTTACAAAAAGTTCTTTCCTTGTATATTTGTAAAAAATGGAATAAAATAAATGTATAGCCTGTTATTTTGATTCAAAATAAATTAGACAACTTAGTACGGCGCGGGTTTTGGGTTGAAAATCGTTAATTGGGCTTTGGAAATTCATAACAAAAATATATTTTAAACATGTGGCAGTTGCCCGGGTCGTTAATTTTTGGGCGAAAAAAGTTACTTGAAACATAATTGTTTAGCATGTAATATATATTAACAGTTTTGTTTCATTATAAAATTATTATGTGTTATCCTCTACAGGTTGAATAAAATTGTAAAAATTCATGTTATTGCCACAAAGTGAATGCAATAATAAGCAGTGCTCCACCAATGTGCTAGTGCAATGTGCTTGTTCTTATTCTCACTACACAACGAAAATTTTGACTTTTATATTTTAATTTTTGACTAGAGAAGAAATAGATATTAGAGGAGCAACGTCTACTAAGGTAAAAGAACGGAGAATAGAAAAAAAAGGAGGTTAGAGATTGTAGAAAAAGATTCAAAGAAAGAGACAGTTGCACAGAGAGAGGCAGAGAGACATAAAAGGAACTGGGAGAGAAAAACTGGAGGAGGAAAACCGGGACTGGGAGGAGAGACAATGGGCAAAAGAGCCTGAAATAGTGAGAGACGGAAAGAAACTGGGAAAGATAATCTGGAGGAGGAAAACAGGAGCTTACAGAAGTTAGATTAGAGCAGAGAGATAGGAAGAAAGAGATTGGAAACGAGAAATTGGAAGAGTCTTGAAGAGCGAAAGAGGCGGAGAGAGAGAAAAAGAGAGAGACGGAGAGAGAGAGAGAGAGAGAGAGAGAGAAGAGAGGGAGGGAGAGAGAGGGAGAAAGTCTGAAAGAGATAGCCGGAAACTGAGTCTGGAGGAGGAAATTGGGAGATTAGAGGGACGAACGTTGAGAAAAGAGACTGGAAGAGCCTGGAAGGGAGAAAGAGAGGAAGCGGGTGAGAG